TCTTTGGAGTCAGTTGTAGGAGAGTGAGCCTGCTTCTTTGGTGGTGCCGTGCTCCTTTGTGTTTTCATGTTTCTCACGTCCCTGTGGTCACACCTTTTTTTCCGGTTTTACAGAGATGCTTTCATAGGGAAAGGTCTCTAAGGATGGCTGTGCGTTAAGATGTTGCTTGTGTGGGACACGCTGGTTGTGGTTGCAGTCATGCAGGCCACACTTAGTTTCTGAGCTTCAGTGAGCTCATCAAGGTTTATGAATCCTTCAGTGGCCTCTTTTGAAGTCTGTGCTGCTGCCCCAATGGGTGGGTTAAGCACAGTCTCCTCATTGAGGTAGGGTTGCTCTAGGAAATGCAGGAGCTACTCTCTACTGGGTCAGATGTGACCTTTGGTGGAGGGCCGGGTCGGGGCTGGCTACTCTCCAGTGAGTGTTGTGTGCTGCCCTCTACACTGAGACGGGATTGGCAGTCTCAAGAGCATACAGGCATTAACTAGATTTTGGGTCAAACATAATTCCTGGGCAGTAGGGTTTCATATAGGCTTTGGTAGAAGGTTATATTGTTTTAAAGCCTACACTTCTTGGGCTCAAATCATGACAGTGTGTTATTTATGTGGCACAGTGCTGTGGTGGTGTATCTCTTATTTTAAAGTATGTCTGAGTTGTTCAGTCTGTGTAAGGAATCTAAACCGTCCGTGGAGGTCACTGCTATTGATGGACACATTCTGAATGCTACCCTGCCACGTATGAGGTAGTGCTGCCCTTCCTAACCTGGAAACTGGGAAGTGGCTAGACTTTCAGAAGTGAGAAGAGAAGGGAAACAATGCTTGTTGTCTGCAGAAACCCTCCAGGAATGAGTTAGTGCTGTTTGTGGCAGGATTCCCTGTCCATGATATTTCAGATCATGAAAGTGCTACTCTGCCTTAAGTCTTTGGATAATAATTACATGCACCTGAGACACTCACCAGCCTGAGAAATGTGAGTGATGTAGATATGAAATTGTTTAGGTCTTTCAAAGCGTGACAGTTTGGGGTTGCTTGCTCCTGCAGCCAAAATGAGCCTTTACTGGCTGGTATATTCAAGAAAACAACACAATGGGTTATATATCTGAAGCGCTTTACAAGCTGGCCCCTTTTAAAGTTTTAATGACGTTTTAAATGCAGCATAGTGAAGCAACTGTGATTATGCCATGGAGCAGATCACATGGGCTTGAAGTTTGATTCTGCTGAGTTGTAAGTCTGTCACCTCAGGCAGCTTTCTTCAGCATTCTGGAACCAGTTTTCATATAAAATATCATCATACTCACATCATAAGATCATTATAAAAATTAAATAAATTAGTGTTTGTCAAGTGCTTGGATGAATGCACAGTACATCTCATCTATTTATCATCTAGCATTCTATTTGGGAAATATGTGAATATGTATTACATGTAGTGTTTATAGCAGAACTTAACACAGAATGAGCTCTCCAGGAATATTCATTATTACTAATATTAGAATAAAAATTTGAATAATAATAAAATATTTGTCTGAGAATTTGCTCCAGGAAAGTCTAACAGGACACAGAAAAACAGGCAAATGGGAGAAAATCAATCTTTTTCTTTTGACTTGGTTAACCAAAACAGAGGCCATTCGGGTGGACTTTTCTCTGGGGAGATGTCTGGACTCTTCTTAGCCTACCCTCCATTTCTGATCAGTCAGGAAGCAGAGAGGAAAAGGGAACTGAAAAGACAAACAAGGCCTTTCTATTGTTTATCTCTATCACCCAGAGTCGCAGGGAACAGGATGCCTGCAATGCATGTGGAATACTCCTTACCATGTGAGACACACAGCTCGGGACTACCTCACACAGCGGCCAAGCAAGGACGCTTAGCATCCCTGGAAAGATTGACCCTAGGGTTTATGAGAATAGTTTTATTCATGAAAATCATCTGACGTACTAAGAGTAACAGCTTCCAAAATCTCATGTTTTTTGTTTGTTTGTTCATTTTGTGTGGGGGGGAGATCCTGGAATCCTAAATTGCCAACACATTTGGAGGCTCTCCACCTGGTTCCCCCTGGAGATGCCCATCCCAAGTGCAGACTCTGTAAATGAAATACGATTGTCATCTTGTGGCAGCATATCTGAATTGCAGGTTTCAATGATCTCAGCTGTCACCACTCAGCAGTCACAGTTCATTTTTAATCACTACTTCTCTTGCCTTTAATCCCAGCACCCAGGAGGCAGAGGCAGGCAGATCTTGGTGAGCTCGAGGTCAGCCTGGTCTACAAAGTGAGTTCCAGGACAGCCAGAGCTCTTACACAAAGAAATCCTGTCTTCAAAATCAAACAAATAAACAGTCAGAATAAAAGAAAACAAACAAACAAACAAAAAACAAAGCAAAAGGAAAAGTAAGAGAAACACACACACACAAGAAACACAGACACACAGACACACACAGACACAGACACAGACACAGACACAGACACACACACACACACACACACACACACACACCAACAAACACACCATAACAACACAAAATCAGAAGCCAGGATATATAATCAAAAGACTAATAAGGTAAAAAATGCCCAGACAAAGCGTTATGAGACACAGAAACTTCCAAAAATACCATTGAATTCATTTTTTATTGACCATCTCTTGCTGGGCGTGGGCCTGCCCTTAGGTGTGATTTGTCTACCCAGTGTGAATCCATTGGAGAAACTATTTTTCTCCTCTGTAAGCCGTTGTCAATTGGAGATCTTCTTGGTTAGGAATGGGGGCTTGTGTTCACCTTCCCTCTCAGTGCTGGCACCTCATCTGGTTTGGATCTGCGTAGGCTCTGTGCACACTGCTCAGGTCTGTCTGGGTTCATATGTGTACCAATTCTGTTGATTTAGAGGGTCCTGCTTTCTTGGTGTTCTCCAGGCCCCCTGGCTCTTATGCTCTTTCCACCTCCTCTACTGCAGAGTTCCCTGAACCCTGACAGGATGGGTTTAATGAAGATATCCCATTTAGTACTGAGTGTCCCAAGGTCTCGTACTCTCTGCACATTGTCTAATTGTGGGCCTCTGTATTAGTTCCCATCTGCTGCAGGAGGAAGTTTCTCTTATGGTGGCCGAGTGAGACACTGATTTATGGATATAACAGAATGTCATCAGGAGTCATTTTATTGCTTTGTTCCTTTAGCAGAATAATAGGATTTAGTTTTCCTCTAGGTCTAAGTGAGTTAATACACACACATGTGTGTATTATGTGTGTATACATACACACATATATGATATACATCTATATGTATATCAGTAAATGAATTAAAATGGTTATATATATATTATTAATTCATTTTTCCTTAAAAATGAATTAGAAGATGGTTTCTTTATCTCCTATAAATACACTGATAACATATAATAATTTTATGAAGTGATAACCACTTACAATATGTTCTATAGATAGCTCTTCTTCTATTTTCACTGTAAATAAGTTCTGATGGGAATAATTCATTTTGCCTAATGGATCCCATGGTTTTACAATAAACAAATCAATCTATATCCGCACAACACTGTTTTTGTAAAGTGTCTCACTCTGCAGCTAAAGCTAGCTTTGAACTCTGAGGCACTAGGATTGCAGTCATGCACCATATGGCCCAGCTATATCCAGCAACTTTGGTACTTTTTCTTTCAATGGATACAGATTTTCACTCACATGGGAGTATGGCTATTTATTAAATGCTTAAATTGGTACACATTTAGCATTTAAACTCACATTTGGTATGAGTCTCCTTATCACAGGAACAATTGCACAGGAATAACACAGTGAGGAGCAGAAAAGAGCATCCTGCATTCTGAAATAGAACTCGCATTTTTTAACTGGGTCATGGCACCCAGGCTTGGTCTACCAGCAGCCACCGAGAACCAAATGCGATACAACATGACTTTGAAATGGGCATCATTCCACTTAGTGCCAGCATACCACCACCACCACGAGATAGTTTGTCAGCGTTTAAGATGACTTACAAGTAAAGGTTGTATGTTCTCCATAAAAAATAAAATATGTGTTAACAAGGAAGATGCTCATAAAGGAGACAGATGAAAATTACTGGTAGATTTTCCTGAGCCATCTTATTATGCAGTGCCCTTACAGCTTTTATGAAAAGATCTGTTCATTTTTAATTAAAAACTCATATGTGGATACAATATCTTTCCCTCAAGCTCCTCAGCCCTCCCACCAATCTATTTCCTATCTCCCCCTCAACTTCATGTCTTTTTTTTAAAAAAAAATTTCAGATGATTTTTATAGTAATGCTCTTGAAAATTAAAGTATTGAGATGAATTTATATAAAACAAAACAAGTTACTTTAAAGCCAGCAATTCAGTGGTATCTAATATATTCACAGCATTCTTCAGCCACCACTTTTACCTAGTTTGAATGATGATCTTCACCACCAAAAAACCAAAAAAAAAATCAAAACCAAAACAAAAAACCCCCTCTGTTTCCAAGTACCAATGTTTTGGAATGATATAGGAAGTGAGTTTCATGAGGTGTATAGTGTTTCTGTATACTGTTTCAGAATGATTTTACCCAGGAGTCAAAGATCTCAGAGGGCGGTCATGTCTTGGTGTGGGTGTTTATTTTATTGCCAAAGCTTTTTCAGCCTAGTTATGTCAACTGGGAGGAGTTGGTAAGCAGAAGACTTAGAGCCTCAAATGGCGCCATCAGGACAGTAGTTACACTGATGAAAAGAATTCAGTGGTGTGTCGAGGACGGCCATTGGCTTTGAAGATGTCACACATTCCTTTGTGAACAGAAAAGCCAACAAAAATGTGGCCAAAGAGTCTGTGGCTTTCATTACGCCCATTTTATTAGAGAAATAATAGGTTTATTTATGCAAATTTGTGGGAAGGTGTGCAGTGACTGGTGTGTCATGTCCACCAACTCAAGGTATAAAAAGTCGAGTGTGGGAGAGATGCTCCATTCCCACTTGGGTAACTTGCTCTTCACAGTCTCTCCAAATCTCTCTCCACATCTGCCACCATGACTCGCTATTTCTGCTGTGGAAACTACTTCCCAGGTTACCCTTGCTATGGAACCAACTTCCACGGGACCTACAGAGCCACCCCCCTGAACTGTGTTGTGCCTCTGGGTTCTCCCCTGAACCACGGCTGTGGAACCATCTACAGCTCCCGCAACTTCTGTTATGGCGGCCTTAGTAACTACCAAAATCCAGGCTGTTGCTATGGCAGCAGCTTCTACAGGCCATGGGGCTCTGGCTCTGGCTTCGGCTACAGCACCTACTGATGGACCAATGGCTCTGAAGACTACAGGACCCTCAGCCAGTTATCTTCACAAGGAACAACCTGAAAAACAATGTCTGTCGTCCAGCCTCCCATGTGCTTGGAAGATACAGACAATTTTCAATGATATGGCTCTTCAGTGATGCTGAACAGGATACCAGTGCCACACTGAAACTCATCTACAGCTAAGGAAAGCAAGACACAGCTTTTTACAAAAGACTGAAATCTAGCAGTGCAGGAGGTAGCTTACCTCCCAGGCTGTTCTGCTCATATATTAAACTGCATCAACCTAAACGTATTTCTAATTGGAGTGTTTGGGCAGGGTCTTACTGTTAGTCTCTCAATAAATCTGTTTCATTCAGCATTCATACTTTTGTTCTGGCCTTTTATTTGACTATGTTTTGTTGTATGTTCTTAAATTCACCAACCATTTCAATCTCTAACAGCTGATTTTAACTAAAGTTTATGGGTGGGTATGACTGATGGTCACTTTTCTCCTCCAGTAGTGTGCATAGTACCTTTCAGGACTGTGAAAGTTATCCAGTAGTAGTGAAGCTTCCAGGTCAGTCCCAGCTTGATTTTTTCATGTTCTATGACCCAAGTATACGGTGTCTTCAGCATTAGGGTCTTACCATCAAATAAGTACTGGAGGGTAACCAAGAGCAATGGCAACATGCTGATGTTTGTGGGTCTGTAAGTCCTCATTGGCCAAGAACTCCAAAGAAAGTAACCCATTAGTACAAAAGTGGTACGAACATCAAGGGAGCAAGAGCCACTTTCTGATTGGATGAAAGGTCCACTCCACAAGATGAAACTCACACCTGGCACTGTTATTGGGCCAAAATCTTGGTGGGTGGGGAAGAGAGAACCTACTATCATTTTACTAAATGGATTTAGTATTAAACTAAATCCTAATGATATTGTTATACTTATAGATCAATGCATCTCTCAACACCCATCAGAGAATCTTCTACTTGCAGGAGATGGTGATTAATACAAAGATTTAAAACTGGCCAAGGTGCAGAGAATAAAAGACCCTAGAATGCTTAGCCTAAATGGGACATATATACTTAATATTCTCTGACCAAGGCTCAGGGACCACTGTGGAAGAGCAGACAGAATGAGTGCAAGATCCAGAGGCAGGTGAGGACTATAAGGAGACAGTGTTTTTTTTGACACAAGGCAGTTGTGCTTATGAACTCACATTGTTTGTGACAACATGCACAATACTTGTTCAAGCCCAAGACAGAGAAAATCTCATCATGTAAATGGGAGCTGGGCATAAAATCCCACCCAAAATGTAAGGATAGTGACAGTGTTAGCTTCTGGGAGAGGGAGAGAAAGTTTAAGAGTGTCGCCCCTGGTTAGTTGAGCACACAATAGAAGAAGACAACACATCCAAGAACATTTGGGGATCTCTAACTGGCCTTGTAGTAGTCAAAACAAAGCAAAACGAAACAACAAAACTAAAACAAACAAAAACAAAAAACCAAAAATATTGGGTGGGTAAGGAAAGAGAAATGGAGTTGGGGGAGGGGGCATGAATATGATTAAAACATATTGTATGAAACTTTCCAAGAACTAATAAAAAATACATGTAAAAGAGAGAAGGGAAATGTCCCAGACTTAATCCAAACATACTGCAGTTGTTATTTCTCTGTGTCAATCATGAACATAGACAAAATATTGCCTACTAAAAAAGTAAAAACAAAATGCTTCCTTTAATTACTGAAATAGTTCAGTTTGGGTTCATTATTCTCCTAGTATCTATAATCTTTGCTTTTGTGAGACCTAAATACCACAGACTGGTGGGTGAATTATAATTAAATGGATTGAGCTAAGAAACTCTGTATTTAGGGACCCATAAGATGCTATCAATAAAGCAAAGCCAACTGCTGAAATCATATAGTATATTTTCTGTTTTTAATAAATGGGTTTTGTTTTCTTCAACTTCTTCACCTCTGATTATACATCTATCTAGTAACAAAAATGAAGCCTTTACTCTCTAGAATGATAGTTACCATCAAGAGCACTTGAGATGGTGTATGGTCTGCATTGACAGAATACTCCCTGTCTTATTTTCAGATTATGTTCTGAATTAAGGGTCATTCATTCATATGTCATGTAGTATGAATCTTAAAGAGTCTTATTAATAAAATCAAACCTGAGCCAGGTATTGGAGTGAACACTGGAAGATCAGAGAGACAGAGCAAGCCACAGCTATCCTCACCTGGCCAACTTCTCAGCTGATCTTGTTTCCTAAGACTGGAAGCCTCTGTGTCCTCATATCCGAATGGCTCTCAGCTGAACTGTGCTGTTCAAAACCTAAAAGCTTAACCAGCCAAATGCTTCTAGTTCCTGGTCTTCATGCCTTATATACCTTTCTGTTATCTGTCATCACTCCCTGGGATTAAAGGCTCGCTTTCTGGGATTAAAGGTGTGTGCTACCACTGCCTATCCTAAGTATCTAGTGGCTGTTCTGTCTCTGACCCCAGATAAGTTTATTAGGGTACACAATATTTTGGGAAGCACAATGTCAAGTATTTATTATGCTCTTACTCTAAGAATATACTCAGTTAATTGTTCATAGACTTGTTAAATTTCTGCTTTATAAGAGTAAATATGATACAGTCCATTATAAATTTCATATATTCATGCATTAAAAAGTGTTGGCTGTGGCCACTGTGTTTAGCACTTTGAGACTACGGAAACATTCAAGCAGGGAGAGTCTGACTTGGAAGCAAGACCTTCTTCAAGAGGGCATTCACTCATTTGGTAGACACTACCTTGCCATGACAGCACTGAGCAGCACTCTTAGTTCTAGGGGCACAGATGTCAAACACAGTCCTTCCCCTCAGGCGTTCACTAATTAGCATATGAAAGGCATTAAAAGGATGTTAAATCCACCATCTAATATATAAAGGACATTAATAGTTTCCTTAAAAACAAACAATTACTCTATACAATTTGTATCGAGGCAAGGTCCTTTTGTAAAGCCATTGCTTTCCCTCCAACCCTCTGCCCACACTCGCTGTTCAGAATTTAGTCAGTTGTCTGGCACTGTCTCTGGTAGCTCCCTTTCCCCTCAGGACCCAACCCTGTATAATGTAGATCTCTTTAGTGTTCTTCAGTCTGGACCAGTTCTCAGCCTTTGTGTTTCTTGGCATCCACGAATTTGAAGACTGTGGACTAAAGGTTTTGTTGAATGTTCTTGACTTTCCTTCTTATTTACTCATATGGTGCATCTTGCAGAACCACCGTAGACATGAAGCTGTATCCTTCTCTGTCCTCCTCACCAGAGCTGTACTGTGTTGTATGCTTACACAGTTTCAGTTGATATTGTCAGTTCATCACATATGAACAGGTTTTCCCCAAGTTTCTCCATTATAAAGTTATTTCCCCATTTAGACTTAATAATTTTAAGCCTTATTTTATTTGTTAATTGATGTTATACTATAAAAGTGCTTTTCTTCTCTTCATTTATTGTGTTTGCTTATTTTTTAAATTTCAATCAATATTGCCACTGGCTCACGGTTTCTTATTTTACTCAATTATTTACATTAATTAATATTGTTGTTAAATTTGATATTCAAAGTATTCTGGACATGGAGGATTAAATGCCATTCACACTTGCTCCTATGTCTTGTGGAAATGGCCCACACCACTCTTGAACTATTTTTCCACTTCTTTGTGGTTCAACAGAATAATCCAAAGGCTCATCTTGGACTTTTCTATTCTGGTTGTGGACATAGGGATTTTCCCAGAATCCCTGAATTCTTTTAGTAGGGATGAATTTAGAAAGTAAGTATCTATGTTAAGTGTTTCCATTTCTGTGTTATCATTGCTGATATTCTCATTGATAATGAGAATATGCTAAAACAATATAATAATAATATACTACAACAATTGTTATTAAATTGTACATAATCCTCTCTTATTTAAGAATGACAGGTTCTTAAGATGCACTGGAAGTCTATGCATAGGAACAGAGCTCACTGATGAGCAAGATTCATTTTATTGTGAAAGACACCGACCTTCAGCCTGGAAGAGGTAGTGTTCTCCAAACAACAGACTATAAAGCACAGGTCACTAGTGACTCTGTTAATTTCCATTCCCCGTCTTTTGCTGGGTTTTCTTTTTTACTACCTTGTTTTTGTTTCTGCTCTAATCCTAGCATTTTTAGTATTGTCTCAGAATTTGAAGGGAATATTTGTTTACTCTTCATCTTTGGGTTCTCCCCCTCTCTCTGTGAGTCTTTTAAAATAATTAATATAATTAATTTTTATATGTATATGCATATTTGGGGCTGACAACTTGGTACTAGATAACTGATTAGAGGTTGGTCTCCAGAGAAACTGGTTCTCTGTCTCAGCAGCCGTGAACTGCCTTATAGCTTTTCCTCTAGGGATAGAGCATTGTGAGATTTCCCCCATCCATACTGGAGTATGCACAGGTCTTTTCTGTGTAACCATACTGTTGATATTTCCTGGGTGTGGCTTCTCTGTAACATCTTGTCGCAGAGACTCTGGTTCTCTGACTCTTAAGATCTTGTTGATGTTCCCTGAGACTTAGGTGTATCAGTTGGAGATGGACACTCATGGCCCATTATTCTCTCATTTTAACCAGTTGTAGATTTCTTTAGTAATCTCCATCTGCTACCCCAGCTAAAGTCTCCCATTTTCCTATTTTTTCCCTTCATAGCATCTGTGTCCTCCTACACTTTCTCTAGAGGTCTTCCATCCCAACAGGGTCCCCTTTTATTTTCCTGGTTTCTTTGTTTACTCCAGGTTATATATTTAAATCTAAAGATTCAGAGATAAGATCCACAAATAAAAAAGAACACATGACATTTGTTTTTTTGGGTCTGGGCTAACTCATTCAATACATTTTCTAGTTCCATAATGCTCTTTCCAAAGTCATAGAGTATTTAACAAAAATACCAGTGCCAGACATGGAAATCCTCTCTTTGAGTTGTTGGTCAGGGGGGATCCACAAAATTCCAGA